CCATGGGCAAATAGTAGACGCTAAATTAACCAATCAGAGCGCGCGTTTTGCTTTAGTTATGTTATAATTGCTCATACTACAACTAAATAGTTCTGAAATATATATTAAAACCAAATTGTTCTTGGTCTTAAACATTAAGATAGCAATATCTTGGAGTCTGTATGTGGTTACGTAAAGATGTAAGATTAGCTTTATTTAAAAGTTCTTCATACGAGCTACTAGTGATTTGTTCACATTTCAACGTAATGTGTAGATGGCAAAATAAATATTTGTCAACAGTTCGAAACTTTGTGCGCCAGTAATGATCTTGGACAGCAGAGATACATAAAAGAATGCGGGGCAACTTGGTCGGCCCCGAAAAATATGGCGCTAACGAACATATTTGCCACATTTTATGTGATGAGCCGTCTACACGAGTAAGTTTTTTGTATGTGACAGCTATGATTTGTCACATGAAAGCTAACACACCAGCTTTCAGCAAACATATTTGTCACATACAGTAAAAATTGGCCAATTTTCCTCATTTCCACGAGCAAATAGCCACATAAAAAGTGCTCGAATTCATCGGTGGAAAATACTAAAATACTAATAAACAGAAGTGAATCTTCACGAATTTCTAGTTTAACACATTTTGCAATCTTTCCTCTACGTTGTAATGTGAACAGAACCTGCATGATACATACATTGTTTTAGTCTTTTACAACGGAAGCTTTGTAAGTGACATTTTGCAGAATTATTACTTTTTACCCTTTTCAGTTACTTTTGTAGGGCATTATGCTCTATTCCGTCGAGACACTTCACGGCATCAATTTAGATGAACTTTTCATATTACTTTGCGAAGTTTGATGATGACAGTGAAGTAAATAGGAGGTTTAAACAGAAGGTAGTCTTTTGTAGATATATTTACAGGTATTAAAAGCAATGTACAAACCAAAATTGAGCGTTTAATATACGATAGACGTTGATAATAGCAGTTGTTATTATTTTAATTTGTATGGCATTCAATAGGACTACAGAGTAGTTATAGAGTAGGGGTTCTGCGCCTGGGCGCATGCGTAGGGGTGTAGGGGGTGCTGGGGTGCTAATACCCCTAGCAAGTGACGTCATGTCTCTTTCCGAAAGATGAGATCAAGAGCGCCTTCAATCCGTTGAGTATCTCGTTCTTGCTATATTGGAAAAATATACGAGAAAACCTTTTCTTCGAGATTT